TGCACTGCAAGAACTGGAAGTCCAGAGCTGGTCATGCAGCTGCAGTTGCTGATGATTCCTTCTGAGATGTGCTGGGCTTTCCACGGCTTTTATGGATGGGCTGAACTCTGCAAAAACCACGGGAAAACCTGTAGTTGTGGAGCCTTTGGTATTTCTTTGCCCATTCCCAGGCAGATGCTCTGTCCTCAGCACCCTGGGTGAGCACAACACCAGTGCACACTGCCTCTGCTCAGCTTGAAATAGCTCCAGCCCTGCCCTGCCTGCTGGAGCACTGGGAGCATCTCTCCACCTGGACCATGATCCCAGTCCCTGGGGATCAGTGGGATTTCCAGAGCAACATCCCCCTCTTGCAGAGCATCATCTGGATGATTCAAACTCAAGCGTTGCAGGATTTCTGCTTCCCAGTGAAACACCAGACAATTTGTGTTTCTATATTTACCCTGGATTAGTCAAGGGTTGCTGCAGGACCAGATCAGGGGTGCTGGGCTTTCCATGGCCTTATGCTCCATCCCATAAATGCTCTTGGCCTTTGGCAAGCAGGAGGAAAGCCTGACAGGAAAATTCCTCTTTGCTGCCAGGGTTGGATCCCTGAGGAGCTGCCAGGGCTGCTGCAGGTCAGCACAGCTCACAGCCTCACCCCCACCACTGCACTGCCCATCCCAGCTTCCCTCACACACAGGTGGTCAGAGTCACCCACTCCAGTCTAAAAAGCATCCAGAATTATGAGAAAACTTGGGAATATCTCACCAGCAGCGCTGTGGCTGAATCACCACAGCTCCAACCTGGCTGGGATGCTCATGGGATGAAAAGAGCCAGGGAGAGTTTGGAATTTCCAGAGAAATCTCTACATTTCTACCTGTTGCTGTTATTTAATGCAGAAACAAGGGGAAAGCAAACCTGTCTGGAAAGAACAACTATGGAAACGGAGTTTGGGATTGTTGGAAAGGGATGGACTATGTCCATGAAAAATATTAGCAATAATTAGTCCCAATCATTGCTGTGAGCTGCAGATATCGATAGTCTGGATCTCACATCCATCAGAATGACTTGTAGTTATCAGCAGCTCCAGGGTTTTCCTGCCCTCCAGCAAACACATTTTTCCTTCTTCTGGAGGTCTGGTCATGTTCTGTTTCATTTCATTGCTGAGAGAAATTAAAATATTTCTTACATCTGCATCAGCATCTGGTAACAGATTAGGAATTAGGAAGCTGAAAATTTAGCTGAAAATAAGAATTTAGGAAGCTGAAAAAATATTTAAAAATACATAAACATAAAAATATATACATATAAAAAATGGGAGCTTCCTCCCCGTATTCCCTGAGCATATGAGGTTGCTTCCAATGCACATTTTATTTTAAGGTGAGTTATTTTGTTGCCATAGTGACATCATTCAGGTTTCCAACCGCTGCCGTGTTGGTTTTCTCCCAGGCAAGACTTGTCACAAGCAGTCAGCGTCCCCAGCCCCTTCCTGGCCAGCAGCTTCCCACGGGGCTGCAGGATTCCCTGGAATTCCAGCCTGCAGGATGAGCTGTCACCACTCCCTGCTAAGGCACCGGGGGACACAGGATCTGGGGGAGCCAGAGAGGAGAGGCAGGCAAAGAAAAACTCCGACCAAAAGGATTTTCCTCTGCTCATTCCTTATCCTTCTTCCTCCACCCGTGCAGTGAGCTGGGAGAAGGTCAAAGAACCCGGTAGCTTTATTAATTAGTGCTAATTAATACACTCAGCTGCCTCTGGTGTTACTGTGCTCATGTACCCCAGGCCTTGACACAGGCAAGAATAAACCATGTTTGCCCCCAAAAGATTAAAATCTCTGTAAATCCTATTTCTTACTGCACAGGTGTCTCATGGATTTACTTTACTACCCAGAGAGCTGCATTAAAATAAAGATTTTAAATACAAAGGTCTGTAATTATGTTAATAAAGATGTAAAGAAATGGGATTCTCTGGTGAGGGAATATTTGTGGGGTTATTTGGGTCAAATGGGCTCTGTAAGTGTATTGGAAATTAATATTTAATTTTATGTATTTTTACATTAAATATTTAAATTCATTGTGTTACTATGATGCTAAAGACTTTTAATGGGAAATGCATTCTTTTTTTTGGTAATTAATTTAATTAAAGTAGGCAGAGTGTGCCTCATTAGCCTAAAACCTATTTCATGGGTGCCAGGCCCTATATGTGACTGAGAGCCCGAGTGCCTGTTCTACTGCAAGGCCAAAAGGAGCTCAAAAAAAAGCTGTTTCAAAGGTTTGCTATGTTTTTAATTTTAAATAAACCATTCCCAGATTATCAAATCAAGGCTACATTCCCGTGGCAGACCTGAGCCCTGTGTAAGCCTTCCCAGCATTGTAGCATCTGGCTAAATCCAGCCCAGATTAAAGCAAAGCTTTCATTGCACAAACTCTCCCTGAAAGGAGCAGGATGCTCCTGACGCCGGGAAAAGGACAGAGCTGGGAATTGCAGGCAGAGGATAAGGAATGCCAAAGGCAGCAGCAGGGTCCAGAGGAGAGGAGGCAAGGTCCTGTGCTGTACGAGGGGCTGGTGCACTTCTCCCCTGCAGAGGGAATTTGGGAAGCAGAGCCATTCCAGCCACGGCCGTTGGGTGTTCCTGAGATCAGCCCGGCTCCCTGATGGAAACCCTCTGGAACACAGCCTGGACACACCAGTCCACAGCTCAGCAACAGCCTCCACAACAAGGCTCTTGGCTTGCAGAGGTTTTAGCCAAAGCCATTGTTTTAACACCCTTTTTTAATATTTATTTCTGAATGTCTTTGACTGGGGGAAGGGTGGAAGGGGCTCCCAATTTAATTCCATAATCCTCCTAAGCCTTGCTTAATGCACTCACTCTGCCTGGCCTCTGTGAATTCTACAGTGGTGTTTTGGGTGGTTGCAGCACTGCCCTGGAAAATGTCCCATCATTTATTTTGCAGCTATTTGAGGGAAATGATTCCCAGGGCTGGAAGCCTGGTTGTTAAATCCATATTGCCAAAGGAAACAAACTCTGTCACCCAGATGGGGCTGGACCTCGGGGCTGCCACGTGGATTCCTGGATGAGGTAGCTCAGAGTCCAGTGAAAACTCCCAAAATTAACATTAAAGCAGGAGCAGGAGACTTCAGCAGTTGGTGAAAAATGTCATTTTTAGCTGAGGGGGTGGGTGGGGCTGCAGGGAACAAAGCAGAGTGCCCAGCTCTGGGACACCCACATCCCCTGGGATGAGTCCCCCCAAGCATGGCCATGGCTCACCCCAACTGCCCTTGGGTGGGAGGGATGGCAGTGCTGCTGGAGGGAAATTCCAACAACAGATTTTGTCCTGCTGCTGTCTTCTCCTGACAGGGAGGGAGTGCTGCAGCCTGGTTTGTTTTCCACATGTTCAAGAAAGACAAAACAACACTTTCAAGAGTCTTGAGGCATCTCACGAGCCTCCGGTCTCCCTAAATTCCTCCCTCAGTTCTCAGGATTTCTCCAATATCTGCTTGAAACCTGCACCAAGAGGACAGCATCACTCTCAGTGGGATTTTTCCATGTCCCATTTCAGGATGCACTGTGTCTCTCATGGGAATGTTTCTCAGCCATTCCAGAGGCATCCTGGAGTCAGCAAAGACAAAACCCCAAATACAAGGGCATGGGGGGCTGGCAGAGTCCATAGGCAGCAGCAAAGTCAGCATGGGAAGATGGGTTTGGAAGAAAGTCAAGGTCTGAAAGGTGTTACCTGTGACAACCTCAGTCAGCAAGCAGGAGGAAGGAGCAAAGAGAGGAAAAAAAAGAAAAGACTGAGATCTACTGACTGCACAGAGCAGGAGGGAGAAAGGTGTCCAGAGACATCATGAAACACACGGAGAGAAGAGGATCCTCAACAGGAAATGGCAGATCCTTTAGACTTCAAGGACAACGTGGAGAACGAACAGGAGAAGCTTTCTTCCACCTCTACAGCCTTATTCCACATTTATGCCATTATAATCCAGGGATAACAGAGAAAACCTCAGGGAAATAAGGACTGATGGCACAGTTCTGTCCTGATGGATCCCATGTGCCTTCACAGCTTCACCTCCCACCTATGGTGGTTTTCCAGCAGAAACTCAACCACACAGAACTTGGGGACTTCATAAACTCTTAATAGACTTTTATTGGTGTAAGAAAAATGAAAGGGAACAGCCAACAGGGCAAGAACTTGCAGGTGCTGAAAACCACCTCACTGGAAATTAAATTACACTAGTCCTTCAACCAAAAAAAACCCAAACAACACTTTAAAGGACCCTCCAAGAATGTAAGGCCACTCTAAATCAAGATGACACATAAAATATTCTAACAGGTTATGTCTCAAGCCCTAATAATTTAAGGCAAAAAATAAAAAGAGATTCTGAAATCTGAGGACATCAGGGGAAAGACTTTTCCCAGAGATAGAATGCTGGAAGGCTACAGGAGAATGTGAACCTCAAGCCCTAATAATTTAAGGCAAAAAATAAAAAGAGATTCTGAAATCTGAACTCCTGAGGACATCAGGGGAAAAACTTTTCCCAGAGATAGAAAGCTGGAAGGCTACAGGAGAATGTGAATGTCCATTAAATGATGGAAGTGCAAGAACTAAATGAAATATGGGGTCACTCTACTGCAGAGGAATTTATGGAAGCTTCCATGTTAAAGCTTGTCCTTATGAGGGATAAGAGGGAGATGTCATCTCGAACTGAAGATCACGAGAAGAGGCTTTATAATCAATAAATAAAGATAATGGGAAAAGAATTCCTGTATGGGACAGCGCTTTGAGAAATGTTCCAAAATCCCATCCTTGGATTCCATGATCAGTGACTTAGAAAGTTCACTCTAAACTCACACTCCTGTGAACAAATTTACACAGGACAGTTTTCCAATTCATCACCTCATGCAGTAATTGAGAATTAATTTTTTAAGACTGTATTTAAAGAGTATTAATGAGCTTATTTACAATGTCTGCCTGTTAAGCATATCAAGAAATAAAAAAAAATCATAAAAATGTTTTATAACCTTTTATTTCAATAAAAGCAGTGCTGTAAAAAACCCTATTGCACTCCTTCCCAATATTTCTGATATTTTTGTAGAATGAAAAATATAATTAAAATATAGAAATCCTCAAAACTTTTTGGAAAAGGGTATGGGATACAGAGGGATGTAATTTTATTAAAATTGTTTACGTAGCTGAGGGCATTCCAGTAAAATTTGCATGTCCAGGGAGAGATGTGATAAATTCCCAGCTGCAGTCAGATGCTTTGTGCCCAGGCTTCCAGCAGAAGCCAAAAATGCAAACACCTAAAAAATCACAAACAAAACATCAAAGGATTATTTACAAATATTTAGCATGACTTGAAGTTACTGAATTAGCCCAGCAGTGATATCAGGTGGTATTTTTGGGGCAAGACCCTTGAGCAGGGGACCCCTGGACTGGCAGCAGCCACAGCAAGTCAGAAGCTGGAAAAGGCTGGGAACAGGGGCTTGATCCCAACCAGGGGACACAGGTCAGAATCAGGCCCCTAGGCAGGGATTGTGCAGAGTGCAGTAGTGACAGCAGCAGTAACAAAACCTACCTGCTCACTTACACCCAGTAGTAATTTTGCTGCTGTGAAACATGGGGTTCCAGGCACTTTGAGGTACAAAGTTGGAATTCAGAGATGCTGAGGATGGACCTGACATTGATATCATTCCCCCAGTCCTTCTGCTGGCAGAGCACAGAGGGACACAGAGCTACCCCTTTTCCTGGGTGTTCCATCCACAGCTGGATTTGGCATTTCTGTGTGAAATACAGAGAAATGTTTAGATAATAGCCAGAAATGTCACTGCTCCGCAAACCAGGCAGATTAAGTTCCCCCAGCCGCAGCAGGGCTGCACACACTGATCACAGCTCACAGCAGCTAATGGCTGCCATAAGGAATATGAGATATGGATCAGCCCACGGAGCAAGGGATTCCTGCTCCAGGCAGGTGGAATTTGGGCTGAGTGGATTTTAGCATTCTCAAAAGGAAAAAAACATCATATTTACATCACCAGAACAAGTAATTTTTCAACAAGATGAACTGCTGCAAGATAGAATTTAGAAACAAAGGCGAGCGGCGTCCTGGCTGCGCCTCCATCGCCTTCCCATGGGATAATGTCGCACCCAACTCTTGGATGTCTGGCACCATCTAGAGGAATAACTGGAATGATGCAGCTGAGAAATTAAATAATAAATTATTATAAATAGCAAAAATCCTAGAGCAGATCTTGTGTAATATCTAACAGCTATTTAGATATAATTTAACAGCTCTTGTCGACGAAGTGAACCATAGGAAGGAGTGGAAACTTGGAGATTTGTCCTGCAAAAACAGGATGTTCATTTGCACACAAAAGCCTTGCACTCCAGCAAGTGTGATTAGTGCTAATTATTTTCCATCTCATTTTTTTAAAATAAACTATGATATCAAAATTTGAGGTTGCATGTAAAGATCTTAAAATAAGCTTGAACTTTTTATTATTCCTTTATTCACAACTGTGTAGCACAAGGCACCCACTCCTGAATTCCTTCTGAACAACTCTTATTTTTGAATCACCTAAACAAAAACTTGGATTTAATTTAACTACCATCCTGGTTTGTCCTTTAGCTCAATATGAAAGACCCAAGATTAGCAGAATGTTCATAGAAATTCTCGTGGGTTGCTTCCAACTCACGGGTATTTTATGAAATGTACACAGAAAACATTTTTTTTAAAAGCCAAAAATGCTTAATTTGTTCCAGTATTTAAATCCAGCTGGATTCAGGCATGTGCATCCCCATCTACATTTACTGGAAAGGTACAATGCAGGTAAAACCACCACACCTGCACAATTCCACTCTAAACTTTTTGATTTTAACATTTTAACATTTCTGGTTATGCAAAACCACAATTCTGTTTTCACACACACAGCTAAAGCAGGATTTGACTCATGAGGGCAGAATAATCATAAATAAAATATGAGAGAGACACCTTTACCTGGTTTTACAAGCCGATTGGGGGAAAGCTCATTTAATTTTGTAGTTAAATTAAACAGGGGGTTGAATTTTACTTTTAACCACAACTGAGAGTAAAACTCCCTACAACACCAAATGGGGAGAAGCGATGGGTATTTGAATGTCATCAGTTCCTACTCCTAAAATCCCTCAAAAACTTCCATTTTTTTTCTTTAAAGAGCAGTTATTTTTTTTTTCTTTAAAGAAACAGCTACAATCCAGCTTCTTCCTTAAAGCATCTCTGCTCCTGAATCCTTCCGTGGCTCATTAGTCTGTTCTCCCTCCTCCTGCCACCAGCTGCTGCTGGCATTTACATAACAGAGCTGTGCTCTGAGGAAAGATGAATCAGCACATCCATAAAATCCTGCTTTCACTCTGAGATTTACTATCACCCCCAGCACGCTGCTGCTTGGATGCAGAGGATCTGGAAAAAGATGAGTCATGGAGCTGCAGAATCCACGTGTGGTGTGGAAATGGAGCTCCTGGGGAAAGAGAGGATGGCATTACTCACCAGACGTGACTCCTGGAGGGGAAAACCCGGGAGAGGTGGGAAGAGGTATCGGTAACAGCCCTTGGAGCAGGCTTGGGGAGTAATGAAGCAACTGGGAGAGCGTTAAGGAGAGGAAGCTGAGCTGCCAGGGAGTCAGGAATGTCGGGAAGAAGCTCGGGAGTGACTGCACAGCAGCACAGTCCAGCCACAGCTAGGCCGAGGGAAGTCCCCTGTGAACTGTTTGGAATGAGGAATGCTGGTTGTACCTGCCCCTGGTGCAGGTACAGCTGCACCCTGCAGCACACACAGGACACACCCGGGGCATTCCCAACACTCCCCCCTCCTGCTGATGCAAGAATCCATCCGAGCCCCATGTGGAGCAACACCAAGCACGGCAGAGCAGTGACCCAAGGTCCACACTGAGCACCAAGCAAGGAGCAGCCAGGTTCCCAGCTGGGATGCTGCAGGAAGGACACAAGCAAGGCATGGATAAGCTGACTTTGGGAGCATTTTCTATCCCAGGCTTTTGAAAGCCCCTTTTAGTTAGTACAGAAATCCTGATGGACTCTAGACAGGCCCAAACAGAACAATCCTGCCTGGTGGTGCTGCAGCTTCACCTGTGCCACCCCCAAAGCTCAAATGAAAGCAAATTGTCAGTGGAGAGATTCACTAAGGCACCAAAATGTGCCAGGGAAATGTCATATTCCTAAAGAAATACAGAATCACGGAATCCCAGAATGGTTTGGGGTGGGAGGGGCCTTAAAGTTCATCCAGGGGTCCTGCTGGGAAGCTGGGAGAGCTGCTACTGTTGGGAAGCCACTGGAATTTGCAGCTTGGTGAGGTGGCACCTCGTGTCTGTCCACTGACGAGCTGAGCAATGAACCTGCCCTGAAAACATTCCAACAGTAACTGTTTGGAGCCTACAAGAAAAATGGAAAGGGACTTGGGACAAGGGGAAATGGCTTCCACTGCCAGAGGGCAAAGTTAGGTGGGGTATTTGGAAGAAGTTTTTATTGAAGGGGCTGAGGATTTTTTATTGTGAGGCCCTGGCATGCGGTGTCCAGAGAAGCTGTGGCTGCCCCTGGATCCCTGGAAGTGTCCAAGGCCAGGCTGGACAGAGCTTGGAGCAAATGGGATAGCAGAAAGTGTCCCTGTCCGTGGCAGGGGTGGCACTGGATGAACTTTAAGGTCCCTTCCACCAAACTGTTCTGGGATCCTATCAACAGCCACTGAGAACTCAAGAACTTTAGAGGAGGACGAAGAGGAAACAGGGTCCACGCATCACCCAGTTCATCCAAGCTCCTGGCACAAAACAACTTCCACAGGAGGATGAAGGGCAGGTGAGTACAGGTGAATGATGTGAAACGGCTTCATGCCAAATCCCCAAATCCTCCCTAGACTGGTCGGGTGCCTGGAGGCATCCCGTGGAGCTGCCAGCAGGAAGGACTGCATCCTGACTGCACAGCAACAAAACTCGGAGCCAGTGCTCCACAGCAAAGCCGGTCTGAGCAGCTGCCCAGACTGAATTTATTCTTAATATTTCCAGAGCATCGACTCACAGTGATGCAGCTCTCTGTATTCCCAGCATGAGGAGAGGCTGTCCTTTGCTATGCCATGATGACAGTGGTTTTTACACTGGAGTTCTAACACTGAATGTCAGGTCCTTGAGATAAAATACAATTCACTTGATGTGTTTCAGCAACTCATTGCTGAAGTGATGTCGATTTCAGGAGCTCTGACAGGATGCATCTCATGGAAAAATATTTATTTCTATTAAAACTATCTACTTTGACCCGGCCTCTTTGTTCCTCGGGGAGAACACGTGCTGTATCCATCATATTGGAATTTCCTGGTCACTGGGCGCAAACAATTTTATTTAACTCCTAAAGCCACCTGAGACACTTCCCTGCAGCCAGGCCTTGTTTACCGAGAGCCTGGAAGGGCTGTCACCTCCCCACAGAGCAATCCTGTGTCCCCTCCACGGCACACGCGTGGGCTCCATCCCCCTACGCTTGACAGGATCCCTAAGATTCCTGAATCCCTTCATTCTCTTAAAAACTGCTTCATTTGAGGCACTCACGGGCCTCCATTTCCCAGGCGCTGCCAGGCAGGAGGCCACGACCAGAGGCCGAGAACACTGCGGCCGTGAGGGCCGGAGCTGTGAGGGCTGAGGGCCGAAGCCGCGAGGACAGAAGCCGTTAGCGCTGCCCCGTGACGGCTACGGGGCCCTCTAAAGCACAGCCCGGCTCAGCGCAGCCCCGTGACCGTGGCCAAACGCCTCGGGCACATCCCGGCTCTCCCGGCCCTTCCTCTTCCTCCCCTTCCTCCTCCTCCCTCAGCCGCCGCCCGGAAGTGGCGGGCGCCCCCCCGCGGCGCGTCACCGGGCGGTGCCGGCGGCGCTCGGTCCGCGGAGCCGCGATGAGCCCGGGCGGGACCCGCGCCCGCACCCGCACCGGGACCCGCGCCCCGCACCGGCACCGCCGCTCCGGCATGAGGCTGCGCCCGCACTAGGAGCCGAGTCCCCCCGGGGCGCCATCCGCCACCTCCCCTCCCCCTCCCGAGGAGGATGGCGGCGGCGGCCGCCCCGACCCAGCTGGAAGCCGGTGGGTATCGCTGGCGGCGGGGGCTGCGCTCCGCACTCCCTCCGTTCTAACCGTGTCTAACCCGCTCTCCCCCGCCCCTCCGCAGAGCTCTACTACCTGATCGCACGGTTCCTGCAGTCCGGACCCTGCAAGAAATCCGCCCAGGTGAGCGCGGAGCCGGCGCTCCGGCCGGGCCGGGCGGGCGGCGACGGGACGGGACGGGACGGGACGGGGCGGCGGAGCCGCTGCGCTGCGGTCGCCGGACTCACGTCCTTTGTGTGTTTCTGTGTGTCCCTCTGTCCCCAGGTACTGGTGGAGGAGCTGGAGGAGCACCAGGTGAGGCGCCTGCCCCGGCGGGACGGGGGAAGCCCTCGGGACGGCGGGGTCGGCGTTTGCCCTGCCCCGTCTAACCCAGCCCATCTCCGTCCGGGACACCCGGCGGGAGCGCGGCTGCCCCGCGGCGGGGCCGGGGGGCAGCGGCCGGGGGGGCTCCATCTCGGGGGGGGGGCGCGGGCGGGCACCGGGGGGCGCTCCCCGGGGAGGGGTCGCTCGGGCTCTGACGGCCGCCCCCGTCCCCGTGTCCCTCCCGCAGCTCATTCCGCGGCGCCTGGACTGGCAGGGCAAGGAGCACCGCCGGAGCTTCGAGGACCTGGTGAGACAAGTTTCACTCTTGACTTTTCCGACAACTTCCCTCCGCCCCTCGCGCCGCCGCTGCCGCACCGGGCGCCGCGTCTCCCCCCTCGCCCCGTTTGTGTGTTCCCCCCCCCACCAGAGCTGCGGGGGTGCGCCCCGCCGAGGCCGCGGCGGGCCGCGGGGTGCGGAGCGGAGGGGCGGGCAGGGAGCTGAGGCGCGGCGGGGCCGGGGGCTGCCGGTGAGACCCCCGTGGGCCGCCCGGTGGCACCGGCGGAGCGGCCGCGCCGCGCTATTGTGGGGCCGGGGGTTATCCGAGGGCACGCACCGGGGCCCGGCGCGGCCAATGGCGCTGCGCCTTACAACGCGGAGAGCGCTGCGCGGCGATGTGAGGCGGCAGCTGATTGGCTGCGGCGGCGCCGCGGCCGGGCCGGGCTCGGCCGCGCTGCCGCGGCCCGGCGGCGGGGACGTGCCGGACGTGCCGCCGGGCCCGGCGCTGCCGGGCTGGGTCAGGGATTCCCGGCCTGCGGCGGCCTGCGCGAAACCCGCCCCTCTCCGCGGCGTCTGGGCCTGCTGTCAGGCAGGAAAGGAGGGGTTAGGAAGTGTGGTGTTGTGGCTGTTAAATGCCCGTGGAATACACGGAGTGGTTGCTTTTGCTGAGTGCTAAACCCTCTGAATGTGTGTCATTGAGGAAGGTCAGTCCCTCCGCAAGGCCGGGGGTGGGGGTGGCCCTTGGCCCCGCACCCCCAGATGTGTCTGTGTGAAAGTGACAAAACCGAAGCTGTTCCAGTCCTTTTCCAAAGGGTCCAGGCGGCCTTGGTTTCACTTCTGGGAGCTCTGGGCGATGACGTGTGGCGCTGATGTAGCACTTTGCAGCTGGGAGGCTGTAAACTTCCCCACAGCGTTTGTAGCATTGGTACCTGTGCCCAGCGCTGGCACTCACCTGGAAGGAATGGAAAGCACGTCCTGGCCTCTCCCGGCTCCATGGTGCAATCGTGACGTGGGATTTTGCCATGACTGTTGCTCAAACTCCTCTGCATCTGGCTCAGGAGCTGTTTCCCACTTTAGCAACATTATAAGAGCTCAGGTGTGGACAGAACTCCTTGTGCCCAGGGGAGACCTTTGGACCAGCTGTCTTTCCCTTTCTAAAGCCTGTGCAGAATTTCAGGTGGAAGCTGGGCTTCCTCACACCTCTTGTGGGTGAATCTGGGACTGGGAAATTTAATTCTAAATTGAGTGAGCAGACATAGAATAAGTTCTGCATTCAGTAGATTTTGGTGCTCTATGGTCTTCCTAGAGAATCTGAAACCTAACTGTGGGCTGTCTCAGGTTTAGGGTGGTACTGCACCCAATATCCAGGAGGAATATTAGCAGTGTAACTGTGAAGTCTGGTGTCAGACGGTGGTTTTGTGTATCACTTTGATTAACATGTAATTTTTTTCCTTTCATTCTCTTTGGCACAGATATGAAAGCCTTAAAACCTTAAAATCTTTTTTTTTTTTTTAATGTGTGTGTGAACATGCACTTTTCTTTAACATTTCAGAAATGAGAGAAAAAACATTTTGAAGTGAGTTTTGGAGTTAATGGAGAAATTTCTTATTTTTGTATAAACTCATAATTAATTTTTTTTTCTTGTGTTTTAAACTAATCAGCATTAACCAATACTTTTAGTTTACCCTTGTATCTTGTATTATTTAACTGTTTCTCATGGTTTACAGTAAGGACCAGGATTATAAATGAATCATTACAGTGAGACAGGTTGATGCCAGGTGGGATGAGCTGAGTTTCTGTCTGTGAATCCTCAGAGTGTTAAGGATACTAAAGAAAGGCCTTTTCTCCCTCATTGCTTAGGGTTTGCTGTGTTTGGAATTTGGACTTTTGGCTGCATATGGTTGTTTATTAACCTGAGCTCCTCGACTTCAGGGCTGGCTGGATGTCTGAATGCCATGTTCAGAACAGAGCCAGGGTTGTGAAGGACACAAAGCACTCTGACCTTCATTTTAATTATCTCAGGCACATAATGAACCAAAATTAAATTGGAGATGCCAGCAGTTGGAGGTAAAGGGGTTTTTTTCAACCCATTTCTGCTTTTTACAGCCAGAAACCCAGAATCGTTTACAATCTCAGCTGGGTGGTTTAGCTGCTCTGGTCAGGCAGGTAATTGAATTCGTGAGGGTTTACAACCCAGAGAAGTCTGATTTGTTTGTTTGCCCAATATTCAGACAGAGTATTTCTTGTTCTGGTGTTTCAGCTTTGTTTTCCATCCTCAGTGTGGCTGTTCTGGTTCCGAGTGGTGTTTTTCAGAAAATATGCCAATACTGTGACCCCTGAGTACGTTGTTACTGCTCCTGGGCTTTTGGGAGTGATAAAGATGGAGCAGCCCAATGGCCACTGGATGGTTTTTATCTAGGGAATGTTTACTCCCACTTCACTCACGTTTTTAGGCAGGATCTGAAAGCTCACTGAGATTTCTTTGTTCCTTTTTTTTTTTTTCTTTTTTTTTAATAAACTGAATCTTTTACTTTAAATATCAGGTATCACAGGGCAGACGAGTAATTTAAGACACGCTAATAAGAATTGCACCTATGGAGCAAAACCACACAGAATGCAAGTTTATGTGCATTTGTGTTCCTTTGTTTTTCCTGTTTATTTTCACGTTGGAACACTTTTTTGCCTGCAGCATGTGGCTGCCTGTCTAGGTAACCAGAGCCACAGAGTATCCTGAGCTGGAAGGGACACACAGGACCATCAGTCCAGCTCCGGGCCCTGCACAGACACCCCAACATTCCCACCCTGTGCATCCCTGGGAGCATTTCCAAACCCTCCTGGAGCTCTGGGAACGCTGGGGCTGTGCCCTGGGAGCCTGGGCAGTACCAGCACCCTCTGGGGGAAGAACCTTTTCCTGATCTCCCTCTAAATGTCCCTGACACACTTCCAGCCATTCCTTGGGTCCTGTTCCCTCTCTCAAGGAGTGAGATTGGAGCTGCCCCTCAGGAGGAGCTGCAGTCCCCGATGACTCCCCTCAGTTCCCTCTTCTCCAGGATGAATTCTCCAGGTGTACTCCACAGTGGTTTTACTTTCTCACTGACTGCTGGTGGTCTTGAGACATGAGATGTGTTTGTAAAGGGGAGGGTCGGTGAATCACAGAATCCCAGACTGGTTTGGGTTGGGAGGGACCTTCAAGCCCATCCCATTCCACCCCCTGCCATGGGCAGGGACACTTTCCACTACACCAGGTTGCTCCAAGCCCCATCCAGCCCGGCCTTTTGAAGGTCTGAAGTGTGTCCAACTTGCAGGCAATTAGTGCTCTTGTTTTAAATGAGCCACAGCAGCTTGGTGTGGAGTCAGCTGCTGTACAGATGAGTTGAGCTGAACGACTCTGATTATCAGCACAGTCTCCAGTGACCTGCTGTTCCACATTATCTTTGTTTATTCCTGATAAAGGTGACTGGCTCTGCTCTGGTTTTAAGAACTTTCTGATGGGCTGAGTCTTCTGGCTCAGCCTGGTTTGGTCTTTGTGCTGAAAAACATATAGTTCCAGGCAAAACAGAAAATCAGCTGTTGTTGGACAGTGGGGAATTTGCATCCATGGGCGGCTGTGCTGGTATGGAACAGCTTATGGGATTTGGCTCCGAGTTCCTGCCTTGCCCATCTGCATTGATTTAAAACTAGCCCTGAGTCCGAGGTGCTGGTATTTATAGATCCTGCCAATCCCAGCATTAGCAGAGCAGAGATGTTACGGTTTTGTCACCTCAGGAAAATGTCATCTGGTAGCATGGTCGTTCCAACCTGTTCTCTCCGGGGACCCCAGTGGGTAAAGGCTGTTTTAATTCCAGTCTATTTGCATATTGTTGGCGTCTTGTGCAGGTCCAGTGTCTGAGCTTCCTTTTGCTGAGATTCCCTATTTGAGGTCGTTGGTAATTTCCTGCTTGCTCAGCTGCCTCAGCCTCTTGGCCTCCTCCACTGCTTTTTGATACAGTTGTCAATTGATTCATAATTGATGGTTATTTTGGCAAATGAGGGAGGTGTTGGATGACTACCTGGAGGAGAGAAATCCACTGCTGAGGCCCAGCTGGGCCTGCCCAGCAGGACTGGGGACAGAGCAGTCTCCAAAGGGCCGCGTCACTGCCTCGTTCCAGTCTGCAGCTCCTGCCTCCAGTCTGTGCTTTGAAGAGGTGTTCCACTGGGCTTCCCAAAAGAAATGGTTCCCAGAGCTCCCTGGTTCCCATCTCTGTCAAAACAGACATCTTGCTTTAAGTAGTAATCACAAAGAGTCTTTTTTTGGTTGTTTGTTCCCCATGTATTGAAACCTTCCTTGGAGGAGGAGTTGTCAGCAGCTGTAGAATCACAGATTCCTGACTTGGAAGGGACCCACAAGGATCATCAAATCCAGCTCCTGTCCCTGCTCAGACACTCCAAGAATCCCATCCTGTCCTGAAGGCATTGTCCAAGCTGGGATCAGTCGCACCGGGGGATTTTGTTTCAGGGATCAAGAAGTTGCTTGTCCCAGCTCCAGGGAGGACTCTCTGCTCGTGGTCTCTGAGGTGATGCTCCAACCACAGGACCATGAACAGGTTTAGGGGTTGAATTTCTCCCAGCCCTGACGTGACTTTACTAATAGTTCTTTCCTTGTGCTTATCACTGGAGCAGCTTATCTCAGCCTGGCTCAAGCAGTCAGGACTGGGAGAGTTTTTTAAAAAGAATAGATTAGCTTCACTTAATCTTTCACTTTTTAGATCCATTGTACCTGTGTGGTTACTGTGTCAGAGAACTCATCTGGTTCTGTTGCATTCTTGTGCTCTCATATTTTAACTTTTATAGGGTTTTTCACTTCCTAAGGCAACAAAACATATTTTCTTTATGATTTATCCCAAGATGCAGCATTTGTTCTCACTTAGCACGTTTTCAGCTCTGCATTATTTTAACTTGCATGGTTTGGGCTTGTAGTGCAGCGTAGTACTCATGTCTGATTTTTTCCAGTTTTCTGATTATTTTCTAAAATATTTTCTAATTATATTCCAAAATATTTTCTAAAATATTTGAGGAGCTGATAATATCCTTGCTGCTGTTTCATTTTGCCACGTGGGATATGGACAAGCACACACTAAGAGGTGTAGCTGTACCTTTGC